CCTGTATAAAACTACTGAGCAAAAAAATATACATTTACGACATTTTTTACGTAAAAAAGGTCTCTTGGGAAAAATCGTTACGAGTAATAGTTCTCGAGATATTTGGAATCGAAATTACCAATACCTGTCATCATTGACATAAATTAAACATGTTGACTAAATATAGTTTAGACTGAAATCATAAATTTGAAACGTTTTTGTGCCAAAGGTTCAACAGAAACTCGTAGGTTAATGTTAAAACGAAAACGGTTACTCGTAGCGATTTTTACCAAGATACATTTTTTACGTAAAAAGTCACGTAAATGTATAATTTTTCACTCAGTACTTTTATACAGGTACGGACGAAAAGTTATTACTCTTCAAAACTGTTTAAACACATATAGGTGGCGCCACCTACAAATGGGAGCATATTGACATCAAAATCAAATTTCTCATGTCAAAAAACTCCCATCCACTAATTTTCATGCAAATATTGACGTTACTTCAGAAATTATTTGGAAATAAAAATTAAACTTCTATACCTTAGTATAGAAGTCGTATCTTCGAAACTAAGCATTTTAGGACATATATTTATACGAACTTTTTTACTTATTTTTATCTGCAGAATATGCTGCCGAAGTTTCCGGAATACAGTTTGGACCACCCTGTATAGCGTCAAAGATATGCTATAAAGGACAAAAAGCAGGCAAGTCAAGCAAAAAGAGAAAACAACCAGGCAAGTCATTGTTGAGTTTTTACGATTGTCTGTTACATTGGTATTTTAATTAATAAAAATTACCTTTTTAAAAATACCCTACCTAGTTCTAACAAATCTTTACTACTATTTCCAGGCCCGCTGCCAATTTCAGTTTTGAGCATTAAATCGTGCTTTTCTCAGTTTGGAGAGAAATTGACTTATTTGCTTTCTTCCCCTGACCCTTCAAGTGTTAAATTACAAATCATTTTTGAAAATTACTTAAATTTTATGTGTTAAGTCCGCTTTCCAAAATTGACTTAAAATGTAACGACTAAAGTCATTTATGATTTAAATCAAAAAAGACTTCAATTTTCTGTCAGCTTGTAATTCTGTATGATATACTTTATGTAGTAGTTGGTTCTTCACTACTGATCTTACTACTACTACTTCCCTAATATGTTGTCACTTAATTTAGAATTTATTTTACCATTAGGATTTATTTTAAAAGTAAATTTGATACCGCTGAAACAATTTAGCTATAGATCCAAATACTATACACTCATCAAATAGTTCTTAAAGTTCAAGTTAAAAATATTTAGATAGAGCATTAGGATAGGTATTCAGCATGGCTGCGTGTGTATTTTAAACTGGCGCTATAGAAAACCTGCGCAAAGTTAGAAAGTTACGCAATAGTCTATTGAAATTATTTAAGTCTCTACTCACACGCAGATCTTTCAGTTGCCGGTTTATCTGTTACAACAGATAAAGGAATAACAATCTAAAAATGGTGAGTTTCTTCAATTAGAGGATAATGTTGTATGCGTGTTCCCATGTGACAATAAATGTTCTTTACTTATTGGATTCTATAGAATTTAGTGTGTTAACATTTTATTGTGTCAGATTATGATTAGTCAACACAAAAATCATAAAATTTTTGTTTTTATGGTATTTCAAACTAATAACTTAATACACTGGTCGGCACGAAAAACGCGGGCACCTTTTTTAAGTTTGTTAAACGTCAATATATTAGATTTTTGGCTAGTATGCCAATATTGGTGGTTTTAAACCATTTGTAGTTATCTTATTCAACTGTTTAATCCCCCTTTTATATTAAAAATTAAATTCTTTATTATGTTCATTATACGATGGAAAACAAAATGTTGATGTTTTGGCAAAAGTTGAAAAACAATTTTTTCTCTATAGTTTATTTTTTGGTTTATCTCACTTGAAATTTGGTTTATCTCACTTGAAACCATAGGGTAATTTCCAACAAACAATATAATATGGATTTTCAATGCCAGTGACATTAGAAATAGATAATTTTAATGCTAAAATTGTATCAAATCGTTAGTGTCTTCTTCAAAAGGAAATATCTCTAATAAAAATAAAGATACTGAGATGAATAACAAATCAAACTATCAGGAAACGATGCACCTTAATGATAAAGTGGTGTTAAAGAGCAACATTTTGTTTTTCCTCGAATAATCGATACATGGAAACTTTTATAAAAACTTAGCTACAAATTGCTGAGAATTTAGAATGTATGTGAGGGGGATTAATCATCCTTACACATCAATTATTGTATTCTTTCTTGAGTTATATCTTATCATACAATCTTAGGGCTTTGACAAAAGCCAGTATCGGAGACGGTTTTGGAGAGGTTAGTTCTTCATCTCCGATATCAGTCGTACCAAAGTTTATGGCACGAATGGTTGTCGACTCGGTGCAGATGAGGTGTTCAGTGTTTCTCCATTTTCCCCACAGAATCTGCATTCGTCGTTGTTTCTTACTTTTAGTTTATTGAGGTGTTCATTAGGAAGAGAGTGTCCTCTTAAAAACCCGTAAAAATCAAAAAATTGTTCTTACTCAAATCAAGAAAAATCTTCATCAAGATTTTTCTCGGTCGTAAGTTTGAGAAATTTCTTCGAGTGTCTTAGACCGGGAGGATTTTTTATCTTTTATTTTTATCTATTCGCCTAGCATTGCCTTCTATCCCTTGGTGGGCTAGCACTCAGAGTAGGAGGACTTTATTTTGTTTAACTAATTTGTTCAGCTTCTCTAGGCATTCGCTTACCAACTTCGAATTGATAGTTACTGAGTTGATCCCTTTTAATGCTGCTTGACTATCAGATAATATATGTGACTATTTCTTCTTTCCCATAGTTCTTATCTAAGATAAGTTGTGAGCATCTTTCGATAGCATAGATTTCTGCTTGAGGGATGGCGGGGTATACAAATTGCTTAAAAAATCTCCAAAATCGGTCCGCTATAACAAAACATATTAATATATAATCCAAAACCTGTAAAAATATATGTCTTAACTTCGATTATTTATTTGTATTATTTATATATACATTACACAACATGTTTAAAACTTCTATCGAAAAGACAAAAGGTTTTGGTTCCTGCATATATGTCATTGAAATTTGTCCTTATTAACTTTGTCCTGATAAAGTCTTCCAAGTGTTTGGAAGCCATGTCTGTAATTATATACATCATAGTATTTCTCTAGATGAAATAACTTATTAAATTATATACTAATACTTTAATATAACAAGGTGACAACGAAATCGAGGCAGAAACTGCCTTTGAATTGTTTTTCAGCAAAATAAAATTTACTATTCACCACAATACACCAAAACACTGCTTTTAAACACATGACGCGTGTTTAACTAACTATGTTATTGGTATCATCGGCATGCAGATGATTAAAACTAAACGTCTCTACAAATTGAGCGTATATACAGGGTGTCCCAGAAATAAGTGCAAATATTTTAACTGGTAGTATAGTTCAACCCCAGAAACACGCCTATGATGTTTTTTTCGCCAAAAAAAATTTTGAAAATTCGAAATTTTTTGAAAAATTTTTTGGAAATTTTTATAGTTTTTAGTTAAAAAACATAATTTCTTGATAATATGGCAACATAGGTATTATATTAAATTTACAAGAAAGAAAATCCAGAAAAGATCCATTGGTTTTCACAATTTTAGCAAAAAATCATTTTTTTGGAAATTTTCAAAGTAAAATAATTCCGTTATTTTGGACTTATTTGAAAAACGATAAAGAGAAAATATGTTTCTTTTATCGAGATCTACCACCCCTTAAAATATTTGCACTTATTTCTGGGACACCCTGTATAGGTGCTCAGGTTAGCGATAGGTTTTTTTTAAAGCATATTGTGGTGAATTAGTGTTTTATTTTGCTGTTATAATATCAAAGGTATGATGAGGTGTGGTATCTCCAACTGTAATATTGATTTTATCGCATACTTTTTTAAACTTGGGTAAATTATATTTTATCAAATCTGTCAGTTTCTCCCATTAAAAGACAATTGAATATGACATTTGGTTTATCCGGATGTGAGCCTAAGCTAAACATTTATATGGCATCCTATAATTGTTTTTTTTGCATATTGACATAAAGCTTTAAATTTATTTTTCCAATCTGGCTATAATCGAAATTGGAGTCAAACTCTCAATAGGGCGAAATTTGAAAGCCGCAAACTGAAATATGAATCAAAAGGGATCGTTTATTGCTTTTTCATTGAGTACTACTTTTGAATGTATGTATATTTGAGTTTTACTTTTGAATGTATGGTTTTTTGCCTATTATTTTGTGTATTACCTATTATTTTGTGTATATTAATATAATGTACAATGTTTAAATAAAACAAAAATTTTGATATTATTTATTTTAGCCTAATTACACCCTGTTATATCAAAACAAAAAGTATTTCTCAAAAGTATTAACTAAAATTATCGAATGAATACCACAATATGTTTCGGGATTACCGAATAATACTTTTACCTGACACGAAATGCGTTACCAAAAGTATTAGGTAATTCCGAAACATCAAGTTGTATTCAAAAGATTATGCAACGAAATAAAGTACATATATCCTTATCTTTCTTTTGCCATTTTGTAATAAGAATTGACGGGATATTTTGTGGAACTGACAGAAATGACTTCTGAATTAATATTTCAAAAAATGACAATTACAATATGGGCACCAAGCGATAATCAGTTAAATGATTATCACTTATTAATCACATCCTTCTATATAGAAAAAATATACATAGAGTTGTACCTATAATCGATAAAAGCGAAGAAGTGGCAATACGTCCAATGATTTCATTGTTACTTGGTATGAGAGTGTCTCGTTTTATTTCCATTAATGTTTAACTTTACTAATTAATTTCTATAAAAAAGAATAAAGTTCTTTGTTGATAATTAGTCAGAGAAGAAATCTAAAAGAAGAAGAAGGACAAGGAGGCGAAGGAGGCGGTTCTTCCAAAAGTTCGAAAAATCAGCGCTCGGCTTCCAATGTCTTCAATGTTCACACAGGTAAGCAAACAATATTTGAATTAAAATTTGGATTATTCATAAAATGGACGCTATTTTTTTAATTTTAAATTAAAATCTAAATTAGACAATTATGGAAGTAAATTTAACGTCTAAAGTAACATCATAAATAACAATAGAATCAACTGCTTCAATAATATACGCTCCTCCAAAAAAGTTTATTATGATTTACTTATCTAGTAGAAGAACTTCGTCAACACCATAAGGATTTTTAAGGGAAAAAAGTTCGAATGCTTAAGGTATCATTAAATAGTGAATTCCAAATTAAACTTCTAAATTTGATTGAATAAAAATCATGAAATCATAAAAATATATAAAAATCTGACTTAAGTCTTTTTATAAAAGACTTAAATCAGCTTTCAACCTTTTAAGCAATTAAGTCAGCTTCCTTTCAGTAAATTTGTTTAAAAATGTCATCGATTATTATTATTCATATTTATCCTTTATCCCAACTACTTCCCACGGGGTGTGGCAATTTTTACGTCACACAGTATGTCATCTCTATATTTTTGATCATTATAATGGGGCATGTTAAATTACCTAACGTGTTCTAGGCCCAAGTAGCCGAATTTAAGGAGGCTTTCCAAATAATGGACCACGACAAGGACGGGATAATCAGCAAGGAAGACTTGAGAGCCACTTTCGACATGGTTGGTAAAATTGCCAGCGAAAAGGAGCTGGATGAAATGGTTCATGAAGCATCGGGTCCAATTAATCTTACGCAACTGCTCGGATTGTTCGGCAACCGCATGGCTGAAACGGGTGGTACGGATGAAGATGAGGTCGTCGTTGCGGCGTTCAAGTCTTTCGACGAAGATGGAGTAATCCCCGGCGAAAAGTATGTTATATCTTATTAATTAGTTAGTTAATCCTTATCAATAAAGTCTGTCCAGTGAGAATAATATGGCAGTGATAATTAGTGTTGCACAAGAGTCTTGAAAAAGTTTTGCAAGAACAAGACTCTTGCAAGAAATTCAAGACAAAACTTTCAAAATTTCTTGTCTTGAATTTCAAGACAAGACAAGACTTTAGAATGCAAGAAATTTCAAGAGTTTTGCAAGCTTCCTTGAATTCAAGATTTCTTGAAAGTTTGAAATGATAGATTTTTTAAGTGATAATTAGGTCTTTGCGCAAGTTATGCCGGGTTTATACAACATTTACATAGTCGTAATCACAATCATAGTTATAATCATAAAAGTTAAACTATCCACTTCTTATAAACCTGTTGACATCTACCATGAACTTAGCCTTGAATTATGTTACCCAACTTCATTGATATAAAAACTATGATTATGAAAATGTTCTGCGTAATAACTTGTGATTATGACGATGATTAAGACTGTGATTATGATTACGACTTATGCAAATGTTGTATAAACCCGGCATTAATATTGACCAGTGTGTTTTTTTCTATTATAGCCAGTGTTTTACAGTTGAGAATGAAATAAAATAAAGTCGAGGCAACAAACCGTATATTGGTAATTGGTATTATACGAGCACGCTATTTGCGCTATTTGGTACTACTTCTCATGCACGAAATTGCTCCGCGAACAAAAAGTAGTATCAAATAGTACACTCTAGCATGACCTTTCCGTACACCCTGTGTCCAAACTTTTCCAACCAATCTTCCATAATAAAAAAGTAAAATAAATACCATAAAAAATAAAAGTAACAAACGGGTAACCAAAATAGAACATAATAAACTAGACAAGAATTAACAACTAGCACTAAAAAATGAACTTAACCTTACATATTCTTGTTCAGCTTTTATTTGGTAATGGCTTCTGTTTCGTCAAACGGGCGAGTTGACGTAGTTTGTTTGCGGTCCGTTAAGATTTTTTTGCTAAAATTAGCATCGTTGTTGTTCATTTTTCCGTATTACATTTTATATACGACGCTTTCTATGAAATAAAATATAGAAATATTATTACTTTTTTGTTAGAATGTAAAATTTTTCAAGACAGGAAATTTCAAGAGTCTTGCAAGAGAAGACAAGACTTTACCATTCAAGAAAACTGCAAGATAAGACTTTGGAAATTTCTTGTCTTGAATGTCAAGACAAGACAAGAAATTGAGAGAGAGAGAGAGAGAGATTTTCAACACAAGAATCCTTGTCTTGTGCAACACTAGTGATAATTGTGTCTGTCATTTTAATACAACGGTAAATTATATGTTCTGTAATTTTTTGGATGCCCTCCGTTGGAATATTCCCTGGATCGTTGGACAGACTGAATTTAATTTCCTAATAAAGAAATAACAAATTTTTGATTTTAAGCGAGGATTGTCTCACAGGATGAAAAGTTAAAAAGTGTCATGTACTGCCAAAATATAACTTTACTGCCAAGCAACTGCCAATGATTGCGAAAAAGACCTATGTCTGCTATATAATTAGACACAATCAAACTTATATGGAATCACTCTTTATTTCTGACTAAATTTCGTGCCAGGATAAAAATTCATATACTTTTTAATTAAACTCTTACTTAACTTTAAGATAAGGCTTTTTGTTGTAAATAAACAATAAACTTGATAAGAAACAATAAACGACTGCTGCGATTTATTTTCTTTTCAATTTGGTGTTCAGTAGTAAAATCACGATTGTCCGGTAATTTTCATTCGATCCAAAAAAATTAAAAAAAATGCCTTATGTTGGATTAACATATGTATAGAGGGGAAGAATTATTGCTCTCAGCCAACAAGGAATGCTCCAAAGAAACGTTGCAGAGATAGTAGGCGTTACCCAGTGTGTCGAAAACATATGCAAGATACTTAGAATTAGGAACACACAAGGATAGGCCCAGATAAAGTCGCCAAAGAGTCACAACTGAACAACAAGACTGCCTCTTGTGTGCCAAATTGCTAGAAAATCTAAATCCCAATGTTTCTCACCCAGAACTACAAAGACAACTTGTGGCAGCTGCAAGTGTAAACGTTTCAGTTGAAACCATAAGAAAAAGGCTTTGTGCTCGAGTGTTTTACAGTAGGAGAGAGTTACGGATCCCACAGTTATCTCGGCAAAATAAAATTGACCGGCTAAATTGATGCTTTCAACATCAAAACTGGAGAAATGAGAATTGGCAAAATGTTCTTTTTTTGGATGGGACAAGAATTGGCCTAAGATCAGATAACCATCAAATTCGGGTTCTCAGAGCTCCAGGAAGACGAGCGAGACTTCAGGCTGCCAAATTTGTATCAAGATATAAAGGAGGAACTGTAATGTTCTGGGAAGGTATTATACTAGGAGCAAAAACTCCATTGTTACCACTTCAACAAACTTTAACGGGTCGGAGATATGTTGATTTGGTACTAGAATCAATCATTAGTCTTTAGAGAGCTGCAATTGTAGATAATTTTAACTCTTCTTTTACGATAGAGCACCTCCCCATACCAGCAGAGTGACTAGAGAATGTGTCAGAATGTGACGGAAGGTGTCCGCTAAGACATAGTTTTGGACTGGCTTGCCTGTTCACCAGACCTAAACCCTATCGAACACTTGTGGGACTAGCTCAAAAAAAGGGTTAGAGCTCGTCGAAATAATCCAGTAAATCTTGCACAGCTTATTGATGCAGCATTAGCAGAATGGGAAAACATACCCCAAGACAACGTTAATAATTTAATAAGAAGCATACCAGCGCCGATAGAAACTTGCATAAGTGCTAGAGGTAGCAACAAGGAATATTAAAATTATCAATTTTCTTTTTGTTTTTGCTTTTTGGTCATTAAAAATTTAAATCTTAATTTCGTTTCAGAAACCAACAAAATACCATTTTGTTTATTTTGGGAACTGATTTTTTTTTATTGCTATATGGATTATTTTTTATTAAAAGTCATTGGTAAGGACTGAGTTTTATTCATAAACACAAAATTTTCATACATCTCAAAAATTTAAAAAAATAGTAGATGATTCCATATAAGTTTGGTTGTGTGTATAGTCGACTGCCGTAAGACTGATGCCAGTGAATGCCAAGAAAATGTACATGTGATTCTGCAACAGCCCTCGATTGTACATGTCAATCACTCCTGTATGGTTTATTATACAGGGTATTTCAAAAAACATGTGCCATCTCTCGTGGGGATTTCTCACTTAAAAATATGATTTATTTTTCATATCAACATAGGTCCGATTCTGCTTTGTTTCGTAGCTACAGGGTTTTGTAAGTCTTAATAATCTTTCGATTTATTATAATTTTCTTCCAAGTACTTTTAGAGATTCGAATGAAATTTTGAAGGTAAAAGTTAATATAAGTGCTACATATTTAATGCTAAAAAAGTGTCGATAAATTCATCAGGGACGTGCATGTGCATATGGGTTATCATTGGAATATTTTTCAAAAAAGGACATATGCGCCACTGACTTTTTTCTTTAATATCAAAATTGTGTAGGCCGTTTGATGCCAATTAAAAGTTATCTCTTGATATTTTGTCGAATTCGGCCTCTTTGATGAGATAAACGCAATTTTATTTATCATTAGCAGAAAACCAATAAAATTTATATTTTACTTAATTATTATTAAATATTATTAGTATTATATATTATTAGTATATAGTCCAAATCCCAGCAATTTCAAATAAAATAATGTATTTAAGGTAATTTCAAAAACCTAATTTTAAAAGTTTTAACATCTTGTAATCTGAAAAACTATGCATTTCCATACCCATGTATGCAGTTTTTTTTTCATATTTTTGATGAGGAGTCAATAAATACTTATTTGATACTTTCGCAAGTTACTGATCGCAGTTCTTATTAGATTCTGGATCAAGGCAAATTAATAAAATTGCGTTTATCCTATCACCAAGAAGGCCAAAATCGACAAAATATCAAGAGACAACTTTGATTCGGCATTAAACTGTTTTACACTTATTTTGTCAATATATTTTTCAGTTTATATTTTTCTATAAAAAAAAAAAAATATGTGCCACTGACTTTTTCTTTAATATCAAAATTGTGTAATGTTTGATGCGAATTGTAAGTTATATAAGTATAACAAGATATTATAAAATTATTATATAAATAAATAATATATTTTACCTAATTTGTTATTAAATATGATTACTAGTTATTATTACTATTATCTAACCTACAGCAATTTCAAAATAAAAAATAATGGCATTTTTATTTTATAATTACAAAACTACCTTAAAAGTTTTAACACCCTATGTCCATGTTTATTGGAACTTTTTTTCATATTTTTGATGAGAAATTAATGAGTACTTATTTAAACTTTCTGCAAGTTAATGATTATAAATTTTGTTGCTATTAGACTAGGTTGCTATTGACAAGGCAAATTAATAAAATTGTCTTTCGCCGTTGTTCGATGCTCTTCTTCCACACCTCTCGGTTGTCCATCTCTCAGGTCTCTGGCACTCATGGCCCTATTTATACCTTCCATCCAGGCTTTCTTTGGTCTTCCTCTCCTCCTACGGTACGGGGGTACCCATTCCATCACTCTCTTAGGAAGCCGTGAATCCTCCATCCGCCGCACGTAACCGTACCATGGATATGAAAAATAAATTCATTTTTAAGTGAGGATTCTCCCCACGAGACATGGCACGTATCACTAAAATTGTAAGAGCAAGACACAGTTTGGTATTTTTATTAAGTCCAATAAGCTCTTAAAGATCTATTGTGTCCCCCTTCCTTTGAGTTATAACTCATCATACAGTCGATACCTAACCCATCATATTTGAGGATTTTTCTGTTGTAGGGGGGACATGGTATTTTCCATCCTCCTCTCACAACAGATATTCTTCTTCCGATTCTATACATCCTCCCACGGTTCACAGACGAGGGCTTATCTCCGGTTGGTGGAAGTGAAGTGAACCCGTGAGGTGGAAGCTGAAGGATCTATTTCCATTTTCTTCAACTTTAACTTGGTCTCTTCTTAAATCTGATACCGGTGTTTGCCTGAATCTATAATAGGGATATATCCTTCTTTCTCTATTTCCTCCTCGATTTGAGGTCAATGCTATTGTGAAGACCTGACTATAACCCTCCGTCCTCGAGTTGATTACTCGCCATCTCGATGTCCTTACATTACAGTTCTGAGCCTGGATAAGGCTCAACAGGTGGAGTCTTTCCCGTTGCTCCTTGGTAGAAAGACAGTATTGGTCGCCTTTTGGGATGTTTTCTACCTTCACTGCAACCAGCCCCGGCCTTGCCAATTCTTAAACATAGGTACCGTTTCCACCAACCAATCCGCCGATTCTTGAGACACAATCTATGAGGATCAAGTCCCCGCGAGTAAGCTTCCGCAAAACGCACCCACATTTTGTGGACCGTTGCGTTACAAGTGTGGAGATGGTCAGTGCAACCTCTGGCTAATCCTTTGGCAGCACCGCCATTTTTACTTGTCCAGCAATAGCAGCAAAGTTGGTCGTGGAGCAGTCGTATGTATATCCCGTACTTCTGCTCCGCTAAGACCTACTCACAGATCTAGCCTGGTTGACTAAGGCCGGGTAGACGAAACCGTAGTTTATGTCGCTTGCTGAATCTAAGAGGTAGGCCCTGGCCCTTACTAGAGGAGTTTATAGCTTGTGAGTCACTTGTGGAGGCTGGTCTCGCGCAAGTATCAACTGGCTCTCTGTAGTTCTTTTGGATTGCCCTTTGGAACTTGCATTAACAATGTTCCCAGTGTTGCTAGGGAATTTCCCACAGCTCTACCGATGGTGTTTTTTTTTTGATTTATATTGATCCCACGATTAGCTAGGGTTAGTCGGTTCACTTCTACAGAGCCCCGCATATAGAAGTCAGAGGTAAATACAATGGGGTGCCCCCTGGTGCCCTCAAGGTCTTCTATTCCTTTCCACGCATCCCTTGACCTGGTCCCGCCATCGAGTATTTAGGTTTTGGTGAGGTTGTCTCTTCTAGGTCTAGGCGGTTAAGCCAAGACCCCCCACACCCTCTACCCGTGAGACATGACAGTCTTCTGAGTTACAGTTGGCATGAGTAAAAAAGATACTTCTCGTGGTGAGTCTGTAGGTTTTACGGACGAGCGTCAGCGAATATGACATACAGACGGGCATTAAAAGTCATTTTTACTCCGGAATAGAACATACCTACTATTTCTTTTTTCAAACGCCATAAATAATTTTTCGTTAATAAACAATTTCGAACTATAAAAATATTTAAAAGTAAGACCTTATAAGTAATTATATATCGAGAAACTATGGACACGCTCGATGAATTTGAGACTTTATGTCAGTTTAATAATGTATTTTCGTCCTTTTGCGTTTAGGCGTGCTTTTATTTTTATGCCTATACTTTAAAATGACTTTTTTATATTGTCAATCGCGTCGCAAAAACGAATACTTTTGTGACGTTTTAAAAAAAATGTGATTTTTATAATGGGTGTCTTATTAGGTTTCGGGTTGCCCTGATGACTTATGGCGATAAATTTACCGAAAAAGAAGTAAATGATGCTTTTGATGCGATGGATATCGACGATGATGGAAACATAGATACGGCAGCTCTGATTACTTTGTTGACCGCCACGACTGAAGAAGAAGGCGAATCTTGGGCACACAAACAGCTTATAAATTTGTTTATCTAATAATTGTCTGATTTAAAGCCACAGATTACTATACGTTATGACCAATTTTTGGTGGTTGTTTATATTGATTCAATCTGGTAATTGTTTATATACTTATATTATGTGAATAAGCAGAATTTATATATGGCTTTGGTGATTTGGGAGTAAGAATAAGACAAGGGATGATTGTTTGTTAAAATTTTATATGTATTTAACTCATGTTTTTGTGTCATTTTAAAAATGTTATATTATTTGATTCATGTATTGCATATATTATTATTTCTGTGAATTATTCCTACATTTTAATAAATAGTTTCTATTTTTATAATAGTTTTCTTATAATTATTCTGAGACATTGAACAATGCAGTAACGGTGTAACTCTAATATTAACTGCTTAAATAACACTTTTGTTAATAAAAATCTACAGGGTGCTACAAATTCGAGATATGAGCATTGGTATCTCGGAAACCATACCATAATAGATACCAAAAAGCTTTAAAATTTCAAGGATTGTTGAATTTTTTTGGAAAAAAACGGATGTTTTTGAAAATCAATTTTATTTTTTTTGTCGTTACATTTTAGCAAATCAAAAACTAATTGCACATTCTCGTAGCCACTTTTATTAAGGCTATTTGATAGTATTTTTTGAATTTCAAATTAGCTGATAATTTGTGAGATATAGAGGCGAACTTATTTTTTTTAAATACGGACCTGCATTTTTATTTCAGGTTTTGAAAGAACTCGATCTCCTGAGTACAATGATATGCACACTTGGTATTTTTTTTTGTTTTGGGTATCCTTTAACAATAACTAAACTATTTAATTATTATTTAAAATAATTTCAAGTCCGACTCTTCTTTTTTAAAGTATTTAATCTGGATTATATTCATCGCAAACAATATTGATCAGAGCCACTGACATTGAATAAGAAAATCGAGCCATTTAAGATTCAAATAAATAATGTCCAGGTCAGCAATTGAAAGATATTCTTTTTAACTCTTTTTATTGTGAATTTGAAAATCAATGTCTAATATAATCTAATAATATGCATAATATTAATCGTAGTAATTATAAAAATCAACTTTACAAACTAGTTTCTAATGCTATACATGTTCGAAAGGGTACCACCCTCCCTATTGCAATAAATTTATTTTCGTTCAATTTTATTGATAGCTCTTTGAACGGATCTTCTTACACTTCCAAATTCATTTTGTACTCTTTTTAGTTGTAAATGTTGATATATATTGATTTTACTTTTTCAAATTACGTCAGTAATGCCCCCCCCACAGGTCCGAACCTCGCGATTAGTGATGTGTCGGTATTTGAGTAACGCGATTTTGGAGCGGTATTTTTTAGTAACGCCGCGCCGTGTCGCGCTCCATAACGAATGGGGAACCTGTTACTGAAGAACGACGATCATAATGACGACAAAATTATAAATTATTTATAATTTGCAAATAAATTATTTATAATCGTTCTTGAAGTTAGCTTGAACCGTAGTAACCGCATAGGGACGTGTTTAGCTCCAGCCGTCGCGATTTCGTCGGTCGCCTACAATAGTTACTGGAACTGTACGTAGCGTCGGGCGATCTCGATGGCGACGACGTGTTCGCTCCAGCCGTCGCGCTCCTAGAGTTGCAGTTCCCTGTCGCGAACACTGTAACTGCTGTAACTGGCTATCGACACTCGACCTCGGAGGCGGCTTACTTCGTTCCAGCAGTCGCTGAAGCGCTTCTAGGGTTTCGTTTTCGCCTGTAGCGATTGGGTCGGTTACTGTTGGCGTTGGTGCACCCGTCGCCGTCGCTACGTTACTTTTGAAATAGCGATTTTTGGTATGTACTAAACATGGTATAAAATAGCGTTGTTAAACGTAAAATGATGTACGTAAAAACAAACGTAGATGAAACGTAAAGCAAAATAAAATAAAATGTTTTATTTGCTTTTATACATTTATATAAGTTTTATTGTTTATATCTATTTTTAAGATCTGATGGTGGCTGGAATTGCCGAAACCGGTCACCAATAAAAATTTTTTTGACAGTGGTTTGTGGGACTAGATAGGTAGTATAAAATAAAAGTAGTTACCAATGCCAGAAATACTACATAAGCGAGGACCGCGACACTTAGGAAATTGGAACCTTGATTACAAAAACGCGGTATTTTTTTGTCGCTACGGTCGCTATTGTAACGCGACTAATGTGGGAGCGGTATTCCCATCACTACTGACATTGGTTAATTGAAATTCACCATTTCAAACTAATTCTCGCAACACAATTCTTACATTATAAAAAGTTGTGAGATCTCATGTAAAACCAAGTCATTTATTTTATTTAGCCCTTAAGCACTTATTTATTCAACTATTTTGTTATAAATTGTTAGTATGTAATAATTAGTCAATATTATTTCTAATAATTATAATGACTTGGCCATTGCACAGCAACTATACAATTATAAAAAAATAATCTACCATCTCGATTACTAAATAAATCTAAACAGTGCCCTTAAAATAAAGATTTTTAATAATATATAATATAAAAAATATCATATATGCAATCGCCAAGTCATTATAATTATTAGAGCAATAAAGATAATATTTATACTAACAATTAAAACAAAATTGTTGAATAGTTTTGCATAAAGAGAGACCAAATAAATAAACTGACTTGGTTTACATGAGATCTCACAACTTTTTATAGTGGAAGAATTGTGTTACAAGGCTTGACATTTTTTTACATTCTATGTTTGATATCATTTTCAGGTTATTCTCCTATTTTTTTTCTCGGGTAATGTTGTGTTCCCAGGCTGAGCGTGCGTTAGAAGTTTTCTAGAGAACCACAATAACTAAGCAATACGTAACTGAACGAAGCATTTGATATTTGAGGGTGGATTTGTTTGATTTATTAAGATTATTGTGATCGAATTTTTAGAATTATGTAACTTTTGTAGATGCATATATTAAAAGCTTTCGTCATAGTAACAACGTAAGAATATATCACAAAGAAATATAATAAAAATATCCCAAAAGAAACTAAAAGACACACATACCAAAAGAGGAAAAATAAGTACTCGATTCCACAAAGGTTAATTTTACAGTAGTGTAGGATTTTACAGAACACGGTGATCACATGGACAAAAAAAAGGAAAATGATATAAACAAGTAATGCTCATCAATACCTTGGAAGAATGGCCACCGAAGAATAGGTTAGGACAGACGAAAAAGTTGAAAAACTGTCGAAACTGTAGTGGATAGACTACAAGGCATTACAAGGCTCAATAGGCATCTAAAGCTTGACGGACAAACCCATAAATAGATTTTGTCAGACAAAAGAAGAAACAGCAGGACACATTTTATGGCAATACAAATGTGGCGGTTGTTTCTGGGTATTAGCAAATTTACCCAGTTATAAGCCAATGGCAATAAGCTATATGAATGGTTCAGTCTCTAAAATACTAGATTTTTTGACTGGAGAATGTAACCTAGAAATCAGAAAAGGACCACAATAATAGATGTGTAAAGATCAATGAAGAACAGGGCTATAGCAGCCAATAGCTACTACAAAAATGTAATTTAATCTATGTCTATGTATATAGGCAATGATGCACATCATATACAGGGTGGTCCAAACTGTATTCCGGAAACTTCGGCAGCATATTCTGCAGATAAAAATAAGTAAAAAAAATCGTATAAATGTATGTACTAAAATGCCTCGTTTTGGAGATACTGGGTGTAGAACTTTCATTTTGATGTTGACTTTTTCCAAATAATTTCCGAAGTAACGTCAATATTTGGATGAAAATTGGTGCTTAGGAGTTTGTTGACATGAGAAATTTGAATTAACATTTTGTTGATGCTTTTTATAAAGTGCATATTTCGATGCATTTTAAATTAATGCAAGTTGAGTCAGGAATTAAATCTAATCATAGAGTTATAAAAAATGACATTCCAACTAAACTAAAACATTCCAGACCATTAAAGAATACCGGCCATAATATCGCTTTTTTATCTTCCCTGTTTTTTAATCGCCCCTGTACAACCGACGACGTTAAAAAATCATGACGACAGTTATCAATCAGGATCTGGCTTCGACTTTTCCGGGCACTTGTCCGGAAACTCACCCCCTACATCCCCAATTTTAATAATTTAACCGCCGACCCCTATTTGACGCCGCTGAATAATTTCGTTTCGGCAGACTTGAACCGAAACGTTTATTTTACTTTTTTCTTTTCGTAACCGCAGATGTAATTAAAAATCTACCGGATATTTATGGTTTTTTGTATACCCTCAATATTATTTTGAGCGAGTTAGTTTCGTAGATACAGATTTATACCTACTAATTAATCTTATAACTACGTATTAACCTTCTTCTCACAATAGTACCATAATATAATCGAAAAAAACGGCGTTAAAAACGGGACAATCGATGATAATTTTGCCGACGTCAAGACCTAGACGTCATTACTTGCTCTGTACTCTTCTTTATTTTTTAATAAAGGAGTTAAGAGTCCATTTCACTAGTCCAAAAAAGTAGCTTAAAGATAAAGAATTATACTATATCCGTATTGTAGCACATTTTAGGCAATTTCTTTATTTTTTGAGATTTTGATGGTCAAACATCAACAAAATATTCCTTATGTTTGGACTAAATTTTCTCGAAAATAAAGATATAATTTAAAATTCCGTTACAGTAGTTGTAACAAATTGCTCGCTCTTTTATGGCAAATGCTGAATCTCTGCAAACCTTAATCAATCCTTAATCAAAGCACGTATGCTTAGAATTTTTTGATGTAGCTTAACACGACAGGATCGGGCTAAGCCTAGGCAGATTTCTGAAACATAATATATATTTCCTTTCCCACACACTCGCTTTATCCTACCCCTGAGAGCAACCCGAACAGTACAGCGTAATAGACTCTTAAGAAAGTTTGTAATTTATTTTTATATTGAGTAAAAATGATTTTAAAATGGTGTAGTTTAAAATTCGAGAAAAATAATTATTTATAAATAGATTTGCATTTCTGGAAACGTTCTATTATTTTTTAATCTTTCTATAATTGGTGTTAATTTATGTCAATTTTTAATAAATGATATCACAAGAAATTAACCCCGCCAAAATTATCATCGTTTACCATTCCC